TACAAAAAGAAAAAAGGAGAAGTCCTGCCTCACACACCTACAAAAATAAATTCCAGGAAGATTAAAGATATTTAAAATAAGAAACAAGGACATGAAAGAAGCCATAAAGAAAAATCTCCATTAGATCCAATGATCTCAAAATGTTTCATTTCTGTATGGCAAAAGACGCCATCCACAGATGAAGGACATATCTGAAAAGATATTTGAAATGTATTCAACATACAAAGGACTATTACCCATATATAAATATCACTCACAGATCTAAATACGTAAATAATTCAATAGAAAAATGGGCAGAGTATATGAACAATTTATAGAATAAATATATGGCCAATAAATAAAGAAGTTTTACTTACTCATAAGTAAAAGCTACTTAAGAGATGCACTTTTTTTGGCCTATTGTATTGGAAGAAAAAAAATTGATAATCCCAGGGTTGGCCAGGATGACAGGAAACACTCTCATATACTATTGTTTTATTAACAGTATAAGCCTTCTAGGAACTGTCTGTGAAGGATTCAGAATTCAGAATGTCCAAATACAATTTGAGCAACAAAATAATAATCATAATAATGGATTATAACCCACAGAAAAAAAGAAATACCCATTAGGCTATAGTGATATAAATAAATAATTAAATAAATAAATGAGAGAACAAGGAAAATTATTTTAAGACATTAAATAACTACGATGGAAAAGAATCAATGTATACTAAAAGAAATACCCATTAGGCTATAGTGATATAAATAAATAATTAAATAAATAAATGAGAGAACAAGGAAAATTATTTTAAGACATTAAATAACTATGATGGAAACGAATCAATGTATACTAAAACAAGTAGATTAAAGGATGATGAAAAACAGAATATTTACATAGTTTCAAAGTATTTTCCCACAAGATACTTACTAATTACAAATAGAAAAATATTAACTTCACAAGGAAGGAACTTAACAGATACTACTTAATCAAGGGACTCAGGCTAACTATGGCAATAAGACATTAACAACATCCTGTGCTACACTGTGTGACACACACAGGCTACAATAACAATTATCAGGTATTCCTGCTCCAAATTAATAGCCTAAACTTAATGATGAGAAACCATCAGGCATATCCAAATTTAGTGATGACTTATAAAATAATTGTCCTGTACTCTGTAAAAGGAGCTCTGGTGACACAGCAGGTAAAGCTCTTGGCTGCTAACCAGAAGCTCACCAGCTGCTCCATAGAAAAAAGATGGGTAATCTACTTCCATAAAGATCTACAGCCTTGGAAACCCAATGGGAGTCACTATGAGTTGAAACTGACTCGATGGCGATTGGTTTTGTGTGTACTCTTTAAAAGCATCAAGGTCTGATGAACGTGGATGAACTTGGAGGGCATTATGCTGAGTGAAATAAGTCAATCACAGAAGGACAAATACTGTATTAGTCCAGTGTTGTAAAAAGTAGAGGAAAGGTTTATATATGGAAGGAAATTTTCTGTTGGTTACCAAGTATAGGAGGGGAGGAGAGAGAACACTATTACGCAGAGACAAGTATTGATTTGGGTGAAGAGAAAGGCAATGTACCAAATGTGAGTGATCAACACAGTGCCACTGAGAAACAGGAAGACTTAGAGAGGTGCATGGGAGGTACAGACAACAAAGATGAACCTTTTTGCACATACAGTACTGTGTTGTCAGTGAAGGCAAATATGGATATATGGGTGGATATATGGGTGGGCAGGCTGAACTATTAGGTTTATCTATGCATGGGACAGTGTGCCCAAGACAGTTTCTACAAGTGTATTGGTATATTCTGTAAGAATCCCAGGTATATATCTAGTAGAGCTGACAAGGGACAAGGTGGTAGTCACTTCTTGGCCACAGCCAGCTACTCAGACAGAGTAGTAGTTGGACCTGTGGTCTCAGGACCATAATCACAGGGGCTATCAAGCTCAATTGGTATAACATACTACATAATATCAAGCTCAATTGGTATAACATACTACACAAAAACTTTGTTCCACATCCTGCTTTGGTGAGTGTTGTTGTTGTTGTTGTTATGTGCCGTCGAGTCGGCCCTGACTCATAGCGACCCCTCCTTGGGTTTCCGAGGCAGTATCACTACGGAAGTAGGATTGCCCAACCTTCCTTGGTGAGTAGTGACTGGGATCTTAAAAGCTTGCAAGCAGCCATCTAGATGCAATGATGGGTCTCTCCTCTAAAGCAAAGAAGAATGAAGAAAACCAAAGACACATGGAAACAATTAGTCCAAGAGACTAATTGCATCATACACCATGCAGTCCTCAACCTATACAACCATGAGACCAGAAGGATTAGATGGTGCCCGGCTGGTTACCACTGTCAACCACTGGGAGGGGGATCTATGTAGGAGATCCTAGATAGAGTGGGAGAACAATGTGGAACAAAACTCAAAATCATTAAAAAAAAAAAAGGACCAGGTTTGCTGGTCTGATAGAGCCTGATGGAACCACTGAGACTATGGCCCCTAGCTGCCCTTCAGGTCTGGAATTGAACCCACTCCTGTGGCTTCCAGCCAAACAAAGGACAGGCATATGAGCAGAACATTTACATTAGGTAGATACACTTGTTGGAGAGATCAATCATGGAAGAATAGAAAGGCTGTGTATGCACAGGGAGACAGCTCAGGGAATAGGAGTCCACGGGAGGGAAGAACACAGGGAAGAGGTAACTATGGGGAGGAAACGGGAGGGGATCTGTTGCATTGTGGGCAATTGAAGTCGATGTCATGAGACAAAGTGTATGTGAGCTGCTGTATGGAAAGTGAATTTGCTCTGTGGACTTTCACCTAAATCACAACAAAAATTAAAAATTTAAAAAGCATCAAGGTCTTTAAAGCAAAGAAAGACTGAGGAACTCAAGAGTAAAGGAGACTAAGGAGATGTGACAAGTAAATGCAATGTGTAATTCTCAATTGAGTCCTAGTCAGAAAAAAGAACATTAGTGAAACAACCGACAAAACTTGAATAAAGTCAATAGATTAACTAATCTTGTTGTATCAATGTAACTTCCTGGTTTTGATCACTGTCCTGTGGTCATGTTAGATTTAACATTTGGGAAAAACAGGTGAAGGTTATACACGAATTCTTTGTATCATTTTGTGTCTATTTTTAAGTCTAAAATTATTTCAGGAGACTGGTAGCATAGTGCCTAAGGTACTTGACTGCTAACTACAAAGCTGGCGGTTCAAACCCACCAGCCACTCCTCAGAAGGAAGGTTAGGCAAACCTACTTCTGTAGTGATACTGCCTCAGAAACCCAAGGAGGGGTTGCTACGAGTCAGGGTCAACTCAACGGCACATAACAACAACAAAAACAAAATTATTTCAAAATGAAAAGTTAAAAAATAGAAAAAAATGTAATGGCCAAAAATTTTGACCCAGAAGCTCAAATTCAAAGAATCTATACCAAAAAAATATCTGCATGTACAAATATATTTGTTAAAGCATTGTTTATATGAGGAATAAACTGCAAATTTATCTCAATCAAGACAGACTAATTTTATCTTTCCACTACTTCACTTACTGCCGTGGAGTCAGATCCAACTCATAGCGACCCCTTCCTTGGGTTTCTGAGGCAGTATCACTATGGAAGTAGATTTCCCAACCTTCCTTCTGAGGAGTGGCTGGTGGTTTGAACCGCCAGCCTTCTTGTCAGTGGTCAAATGCCTTAAGAACTACACCACCAGAGCTCCCATTCCACTACTTAAGAAACCACATATTTGTTTTGTCTAATTTTCATCATTAAAATATTTCACCATTTGCTAAATTCTGGGTTCAAAGAAATAAAACAAACTCACTGCTACCGAGTCGATTCCAACTCATAGCAACCCCCACTGGGTTTCCAAGGCAGTAAATCTTTACAGAAGTAGATTGCTCCTTCTTCCTTCCTCAGAGTGGCTTGGCTGGGAGGTTTGTACCACCAACCTTCTAGCTAGCACGCAAACGCCTTAGGCACTGTGCCACCAGAGCTCCTTCAATTCTGGGTGGTTGTTGTTATGTGTGGTCGAGTCGGACCTGACTCATAGCGACCCCTCCTTGGGTTTCCGAGGCAGTATCACTACGGAAGTAGATTGCCCCATCTTCCTTCCGAGGAGTGGCTGGTGGGTTTGAACCACCAGCCTTCTGGTTAGCAGTCAAGTGCCTTAGGCACTATGCTACCAGAGTTCCTAAATTCTGGGTTAGTGACTTGCAAAGCAGAGTTTATCCCTGTTTCCACTCCTGGTGCTGATCTCAGTTAATTCTGCACAGATGTGCTAGTGCTCTGTTTGCCTTATCTTGTACAGCTGTAGCAGGAAACTCACTACAGCATTTAGTCTGATTTTCTATCAAGGCTTTTCTTTAACATAAGACCTTAACCTTAAATGTTACTAAATACTTCTTTTCACTGAAACAACCAAAACAAATTGATACTAAAGAAAGCTATCAAGATACTGACAGATTATAAAAAGAGCCAATTCTATCTGATACCTCTTCCATTCAGAGTTAGCAAGAACTTGGAATTGACTTCGGTTTTACCACACTTAGTATTGTACCAGCTTTTCTGATACTAATCTTTTAAAAGCTATTTTTGCTTTGTCCCCTGCTTAATCCTATGACATAACTTATGAAAGATCTTAATGATATGTAACCATTTATTAGCCTAAGATTTTTATTTAGGAGAAAGCCACTCCTCGGAAGGAAGGTTGGGCAATCCTACTTCCGTAGTGATACTGCCTCGGAAACCCAAGGAGGGGTCGCTATGAGTCGTGGCCGACTCCACGGCAAATAACAACAACAAATAATGTAGGATACAGCCTTTGTAGTTAAATTCCTAATTTAAGCATAAACATAATTGCAATAGAAAGTTACTAGATAAAATCTTACATCAACTGATTTCTTGATGAAGATTCACTTTAAGTACTGGTCCATTAACACAAACATCAACTGTAACATGTAACTAAGAACTCATAATTCTTCCTCTCAGCCACTTTACCTGCTTTCTTGACTCTGATAAGGGTGATGCCTCAGTACATCCTGCAAGAAACGCTCCATCAAGCTACTGGTCACCATCCGATGTCGATTCTGCATGGCCAAGTTTTTGTGCTGGGCACTTAAAATATGCTGAAAAGAAAAAAGAAACTGAAGATTCTTAAAGGGGTATTACTCATTAGTAATGAGAGTGTCTCAAAATAGATTCATTTATATACTGCTGATAGAAGTATAAATTGATACACCCTTGTATAAAGTAATCCTGAAACATGCACCTGAAAATCAGGAAAGTATCTCTAAATCTACCCTAAGGAAATAATTTTAAATGCAGATGATTTATACAAAAATGGTAGTCATCAGAGCATGAAAACAAAACATTAGTAATCACCCAAGCATCTAACAGTAAAATCCTTCAATCATACCATGCTGTGGGATGTAATACTACTACCACAATAAAACAAAAACTTTTTAAAAGATGTAATAGCATGCAGCCATCTAAAATGAGAAATTAAAATTTTTTATTAACATGGAAAAATGAAATATATTAAGAGAAAAATGTTAGGTGCAAAAAAACCATGTACAGTTTTCTCAAATTACAGTTTAAAAATACACAGACAAATAAATGGAAAACATACACCCAAATCTTAAAGGCATTTACATTCGTGTGGTACAATTAAGTGAAACTATTCACTACAAATTAGTAAGTAAGCACAAGTAAGCTTGTGCTTACATGCTTACTGGGTACTTCAGTCCCTGTCAGGGATTCGAAATTTGAAAAGAGGCTTTGATTCCATAGGTAGGTGTTGTGGGATTAGAAGAAAGACAGAGGCCAGCCATATCTAGAAGCAGAATCTTTGTTGTTGTCAAAAAAAAAATGTGAAATTGTTCACTACAGATTAGTAAGTAAGCACAAGTAAGACCATGCTTACCTTGCTTATTAGGTAATCAGACACTGCCATGGCCCCACCCTTTGAAACTAAGAAGCCCTTCATTCCTGTGCTCCTTCCAACAGTTCTTCCGATCTCTGAGGTGCTCCAGGCATGGTTTTCTTCTTTCCTTGGAGGACAAGAGATGTAGCTCCTTTGGCCTGTTTCCTGCCTGCAAAATTCCAAGAGGCAGATAGCTTCTTTCCTTTCCTTCTTTCTTTGTCCCTTTCAGTCTAAGCTGATGAGTTTCTGTGGTAGTTGGTTAGATCCATCATTCATAGGCTTAATTTCTTTAACAAAAAAACGTGTAGCCACAGCCTTGGTGGACCTTCTAGGACATGTGTCCTTACTGGTACAACAGAATTCTCCAAAGCTTTCAATTCTGTTTTCATTTTGCACAGTTCAGTTTTAAGTTCATCTCTTTCCTCTCACATTTTACTCTAAGCAGCAAGGCGAAACCATGTGGTCCCTTTAAGATCTAGCTTAGAAATCTCATCACCCAGATATCCAAGTTCATCACTTACATGTTCTACCTTCCACCAGACAACTGAAAATAATGCCGACAAATTCTTTGCCACTGCATAAAAAGCACTGCCCTTCCTCCAGTGTCCAATCACACGTTCATCATTTTCTCTTAAAGCCTCACCACCACAATTACACTTAACATCCACATTTCTAGGAACACTCTGTTGCTGACAACATACGCATTCTCTAAAATAACAGACTTTCTCTATGGTTCTCTTCACTTCTTCTAAACACTCACCAGAATTGCCTTTGACATCCATAAATCTACCAACAGTCTCTTCAAGGCAATCTTTTACTATTAGGCACATGGAAATTCTTAAGCTTCCACCCATTACCCAATTCCAAGACCACTTCCACATTGTAGGTATTTGTTAGAGCAGCACGCCCACTTCTCAGCACCAAATTCTGTCTTAGTTATTTAGTGTTTCTATAACAGAAATACCACAAGTGGGTGGTGTTTGTTCCCTTACATTTTAGGAGGCCCGAAGTCCAAATCCAGAGTGCCAGCTCTAGGGTATGGATGGCTCTCTCTCTGCCGGCTCTGTAGAAAGTCCTTGTCTCTTCTGAGCTTTCTGATCCTGGACAATCTTCTTGTGCTTGGCAGCTCTCTTCCTCCTCCTCCATCTCTCTTTGCTAGTTTGTGTTTAACCTCTTTCATACCTCAAAAGACATTGACTCAAGATACATTTTACCCTAATCCTTCCTCATTAATGTAACAAAGACAATCCATTCCCAGATGGGATTATAACCACAGGCAGAGAGGTTAGGATTTACAACACATATTTAGGGGAGTACAAGTCAATCCACAATATTTTTTTTATATACTTCTTGTATTTTCAGTGTGTACATATTTTTATAATAAAAAGCTATTAAAAGAGAGAACAGGTGTGATCCCAGTATTAAAAGAGGTCAAAGATTAATTCACAAAAAGGCCATCATTTTCCTTTAGATTATTAATTCCTGATTCAAACAGGATATAGGAATAAATATACTAAATTTTTCTGTTTTATAATTCTGTCTATAGTTAGGAGTCTGCCTATTTTTTTAAATTGTGGTAAATATATAACAAAACATTTGACATTTCAACATTCTTCACATGTATAATTCAGTGACATTAATTATGTTTACCATGTTGTTCAACTATCACCATTATTGTTTCCAAGTGTTTTCATCACCTCTACAGAAGCTCTGTGTCCCCTATGCAATGACTACCCTTTTGCCCCTTCCTCCTACCCACGCCCAGTGAACAAAATACTTTGGTCTCCATACGATTATATATTGCCATTATTATTAACATTTAGCTCAGATTAAAAAGAAGGATGGGAAAGAAGTCTAATATCTACTTAGCACCCACCTTACCAAACAGAGTGGTATTTCATTTACACCTTGTTGCTACTTGCCATCCAGCTGATTCCAACTCATGGCAATTCCAGGAGTAACAAGAATAAACCAGCTACAAAGTGTTCTCATGACTGTAATCTTTACACAGCAGATTATCAGCCTTTTCTTCCCCAGAGCTGCTCAGTAGATTTGAATCTTACAACACCACCTTTAAGTGAGTTTGCACCACCCTGGGAGTGTCACCATCTATTTAGTTTTTCTTAAATTTCTCTCTATGTTTAGAGTTTTCGATGTAAAGATCAGGGAGCTCTGGTGGCATAGTGTCTAAGGTATCTGACTGCTAACCAGAAGGCTGGTGGTTAAAACCCCTTCTTGGAAGGAAGGTCGGGCAATCTACTTCCATAGTGAAACTGCCTTGGAAACCCAAGGAGGGGTCACTATGAGTCAGATCTGACTCCACAGCAGTGAGCTTGGTTTTTGGTTTGATGTAAAGATCCTATACATCTTTTGTTCTACTTATTCCTTAGGATTTGATGTTCTATAATGGTGTTGTCAGCCCCAGGCTTACAGGTGAGGAGAGACAACGCAGGGACGCCAGAATAGCAGGCCAGAAGAGCAGGAGAAAGGGGATAAAAGCCTTGAACCAGGACAGAAAAGCAATCAGGGATTAGGTAAGGAGGGGAAACTCAGGCCCGCCCAGAGTAGCAGGCCGGAAGAGCAGGAGAAAGAGAATAAAAGCCTTGAACCCGGACAGAAGAGCAGTCAGCCCCAGGCTTACAGGTGAGGAGAGACAACGCAGGGACGCCAGAGTAGCAGGCCAGAAGAGCAGGAGAAAGGGGATAAAAGCCTTGAACCCGGACAGAAGAGCAGTCAGCCCCAGGGATACAGGTGAGGAGA